TAGTGAGGCTTTTGGAGGTAGGGGTTAGAAGAATGCCCAGGTAGATAACCGAGGGGATCTAGAGTCACACTGTTGTCAGGGACTAGAAGGAAATTCTCCTTCAAAGATTAGCCTGACAGCCCCCTGGGAGACATCCTGCCTGGGAGGCATCCTGCAGCTACTTATCTCACCTGAGACATCCTGCGGCCACCTATCTTCCTGAAACCTATCTTCCTGAAACATCCTGCGGTTATCTCACCTTGTGCAGACATCCAGCAACTGCCGATAAGAGAGCTTCCCCATCCCCAGCATATAAATACCCCTGTGTGAACAATAAAAGTTTGCAGCTTGATCAGAACTTTTGTCTTGCTGTCATCCTTCTGTGTCTCTTGTCCCTTCATTCCTCCCCATCTAGGTTCGCTGCCCACGTTGATGTGTCCTGCCGGACGGGACACACTGGCTGGGGAAACTCAGTATCCTTGGGAACCTAAAAAGTTGAGTAGGTGGGCAGTATGTTCCTGAGTAGCCTCTAAAGATGGGCTGCATAAGAGGAGGTCATCTACATACTGTAGGAGGGCACTGATTCCAAGATCACAGGTAGCTAAATCCTAGGCCAGCGCCCGCCCAAACAGGTGGGGCCTATCCCAGAAGTTCTGAGGGAGGACAGTCCAGGTTAGTTGGTGAGGTGAGGGTGTCGAGGTCCTCCCAGGTGAAAGCAAAGAGGAAGTAAGAATCTGGATGAATCAGGACTGTAAAGAAGGCATCTTTGACATCTAGAACTGTGAAATGAGAGTTTGAGGACAGTATGTGAGAGAGGAGGGTATAAGGTTGAAGGGGAATGACCACTTCATTGACTAAACGGAGATCTTGTACTAAGCGGTATGCTCCTGATGGTTTGTGGAAAGGCAGGATCTGTGGGCAGGTAGAGTCTGTGTTGCAGGGAGAGTCTGTGGGAATAAGGAGGCCTTGATCTAGTAGCCGCTCGATGATGGGTTTGAGTCCCCTGCGGTGAGGGAGAGAAATGGGAAACTGAGGTCTAGAGGGAAACTCAAAGATGGGCTTTAGCTGAGTCTACACCGGTTGATGGTGTGTTGCTGTTACCTGTTTGGAGGTGTCCCAGACTTGGGGGTCTACGAGGCCTGATGGGAGGGGATGAGTGGTGGTGGGGGAGGGTGTGTCTATAGTGGATTTAATTAAGGGGAGGAGGAGTTGAGTAGTAGGGGCACAGGGTGAGAGCTGGAGGGTAGCCCCCAAGACTGGAGAACATCTCATCCTAGGAGGAGAACTGGACAGGAAGAGATAACTAAAAAGGAGTGGGTAAAAGTATGTCCCTCTAGGGAGCACGTCAGACTGACCATTTTCTTTGAGAAGGAGGGTGTTCCATCTATCCCCATGACTGAGATCTGGGATAGATATAAAGGCCTGGAGTGGGCAGGCAAGACAGAATAGGTAGTCCCTGTGTCCACAAGAAAGGTAATGGACTTACACTACCTGGAGCATTATCCCGGGCTCGACAAGGGTTATGGGGGTCCTCGAATCTGGGTTTCTTCAGTAGTCAGCCAGAGTCAGAAGCTTAAGAGAAGGGACTGCCTATCTGGCCATACCTCCATGTTGAGGTGCCAGGGAGGCACTGGCCAGGGGACAGTGACTCTTCCAATGTCCCAGCTGCTTGCAGCTAGGGCACGGCTGAGACGGGGGCCGTGGATTAGGGCACTGGCGGGGCCAGTGGCCTTCTTGTCTGCATTTGAAGCAGGCCCCATGTGGGACAGACTTCTGAGGACCCCTGGGAGCCCTGGTGGGGGCTGGGGCTGGCTGCAGAGCTGCAACCAGGGCTTGTGTCTGGAGCGCCACCTTTTTCTGTAAGTGGGCCTGCTGGCTGAGTTTAGCTGTTTCCTCATGGGCATTATAAACTTTAAAGGCCATTTTCACCAGATCTCGGATGGGGGTTTGGGGACCATCCTCAGCCCACTTTAGCTTTTTTTTCTAATATCGGGGGCTGACTGGGTGATAAAATGAGTGGCCAGAATGGTCACCCCAGAGGGAGATTCAGGGTCTAATCAAGTATGGAGAGCGAGGGCCTCTGTAAAGTGGTTAAGGAACATTGCAGTGTTCTCATCAGGCCCCTGAGTGACTTCTCTCAGTTTATCAAAATTAACAACCTTATTAGAAACTGCCTGCATGCCTACCAGCAGACATTGTATCATCTGGGCACTTGGGCGTCAGTCCTGTTCTCCATTTTACTAGTCCAACAGGATTGGCGTCAGGGACTGTGGCTGCACCTGTAGGCATGGTGTTATCGGTTAAATGAACCTGGTCTGCATGGTCCCATGCAGCTACCTGGACTTGAGTGCATTCATCTGGGGTAAGGGTGGAGGTGAGGATGACATGGACATCATGCCAAGTAAGGTCATAGGCTTGGGAAAGGCATTTAAATTCTTTGATATAGGTAGTGGGGTCAGCAGAAAAGTAGCCTAAGTGCTTTTGGATTTAAGCGAGGTCTTGTAGAGAAAAAGGGACATGAACCTGAATGATGCCTTCAGATCCTGCCACTTTACAGAGAGGACAGAGAAGTTCAGGGTCTTGGGTCGTTTGGCAAGACCTGGTATGGGCACTTACTGGGGAAGAGATGGGAGGGAGGGTGATCTAAATCAGGTGGAGCTGGTTCCGGATAAGAAGGAGGGTCAGGACAGGAGGGTCTATAAGGTAGTGAGGAGAGTGTCTTGGGAGGTTCAATAAGTGGAGAGGGGTCAGGGTCAGGAGCAGAGGGGGCTTAGAAGGAGGAGCTTCTTGAATGAGGAGGACATGGAAAGAGGAGCCGATAGAGCAGAAAGAGGAGTGGGAGCGCAAGTCCCAAAAGGCTTGAACATAAGGAACCTCTAACTACCTTTCCATCCGTCGGCAGAAATTGTCGAAGGCCATTTAGAGCCATTATCTAAAGAGTATTGTGGCCAGGCCACGGTGGAATAGAAAAGGAGCCATTCACGGCTTAAGTCCTGAGAGAGTCCCAATTTGGAAAAAATTCATGTATAAACACCCCAAGGGAGTTTTGGGGTCCAGAGTGGACTCTGTATTTCCCATGATGTTTCTACACCCCAGGTGAGCAGGGAGGAAAAATGCGTCCCAATTACCTACTGTGTTCACCAGAGAATGGAGTGGCCTGGCCAGGGACTGAGATGTCTCTTCAGTTCATCTGGGGGCACTGATGGGTCAGGAGGGGAGTCTCTGACCAGCTGCAGAGTTCCCGAAATTGGGAGGGAGTCAAAAGATCAAAGAGAAAGGGACTTACCTCACACATTGGATGAGGGCCAGTGGTCTAAAGATCCCCATTCGTTCTGGTGGCAGAGACAGCAGCCTCAACTCCTAAGGGAAAGCTTTGACCTCCTCCTGGGTCTTAGCACCAAATGTAAAGCAGAAAGGTGAAACCACGGAACAAGAATGAGGCAGCCAAAGAAGGGTTATTGGGGGGTTATTGGGGGGAGCTCCCAGGAGAGGTTCACTGGTCTACGAAAGGGCAAGGGCCTGGGAAGTCGCAGGTGGGAAAGGCAAGAACAATGCTAATAAGAGAAGCTGGAGGTAGAAGGGCCTAGGCCATCTAAATTGCAGCTACTGACAGCTGGTTGGCTGAGTTTAGGGGATTATGTCTGTTGCAAGTTGGTCAGGGTGATTGAGTTGACAGGGTGATTGCTTCCACCGGTGGGAACCCTTGGTGGTTGGGGTCCTATGCCATGTCAGCTTCTGATTGGCCATTTTGAGTCTCCTCAGCCAGGTGGAAAGTCCCCGCCCACAGCCCCCATGAAAGGGGAGGGGGAAGGGAAGCCTGTCGACCTAACTCTCCTTTGAGAGCTCTGCTTGCTTTCTATTACTCTAATAAATCCTATTACTTTGTTCTCACCTTTGTGTCCGTGGATTTCAGTCTTTGAATCTGCAAGACAAAGAACTCAACTCTGTGCTACACTAGGAAACACGTTAGGCCCTGAGAAGGGGGCTTTTATACAGAGACTGCTCTCTTCACGAGGGGAAGTAGCCAAGCTCATCCTCAGGCCAGGTTCTGGAGGTATCAGAAACCCAGGAAGGGTCTGAGTCTGAAAGTGTCTCCAGATCTCCTTCTGCCAGGAAGTAGGTTTTAAGACGTGATGGAGTCCTAGAAAATACCTTTAGGCTCTACCAGGGGATTAAATGGGACTCCTTTTGTCAATTTTTCTTTCTTTTGTTTGTTGGTCCTTTCTTTTCTTTTTTTCACCCCTTGGTGCTAGGGATGGAACCCAGAGCGTCCTGCATTCTAGGCAAATGTTCTACCACCTAGCTACCCCCCCCCCTCCACTGGGTCACTTCTATCCCTGAAAGAGGGGCACTCGGTTGTCTTCTGCCTCTTGTGAGGATATTCAGAATTGTAGGTGAAAGCAGTTTGTTAAGACTGGACCTGGGGTCTCTGAGCCTGCTTCCTATCCCCAGTCTCTTCAACAGGTAGCAGCAGCAGCTCTAAACTCAGGGGCCCAAGCAGGGAAGAGCAGGATGGGGCTGTGTTCAGAGGGGTGGGGGCAATCAGGCCACAAGTGTCCCTGCTGGGAGTGAGCTGGCTGACCTCCCGTGAGGCTGGAGGGAGGGGGAATATGGGGACTGGGGAAGAAAAGAGACAGATGGCAAGAGAGTGAGTCTGGGGTCTGGGAGGAGAGGCTGTTCCAGCTCCAAATGGCCTTTGTATCTGCCCTGGGGTTGGTTTTTGCCTCTGTATTTTTCTCTGTTTCACTCTGTCTCTGGCTGCCTTCTTTTTTCCGTGTGAGCTACTGTTGGTATTTTTCCTTTCTTTTATTCTCTTCTCTTACTCTTGTCTCCAAATCTCTCCAATTAGTCCCCTGTCCCTCTTATCCTTCTCTGTACCTGTTTGCCTTGCCTTGTCTGACTCTCTGTCTTCATTTCTGTCTTTGAGTGAAAACCCCCTCATCTCCCTTCATCTAGCTTTCCTCACTTTGTAGCCCCTCTGCTCCATCTCTGACCCTCCCACCCTATTTTTTGCCCACAGGATGGAAATGCAGGATCCAAAGATGAATAGAGCCCTCCCTGCAGGTGCTGTAGGGTAAGTCAGGGAGTCCAAGGAGACAGGCTCTGGGGGTGAGGGTCACTTTCTTATCAGCCCTTATTTCCCTGTCCTTTCCAGCTACAGGCAGGAACGGGAGGGCTTCCTGCCCAGCCATGGTCCTGCTTCTGGAAGGAAACCGGCTCAGTTCTTGGATGTAAGTGAGTCCACCTGGATCTGTCCTGGTCGCTCCTTCCCTACTGCTTCTCCTCCCTCCCAGCTGTTCCCCTGCCTAATTGTCTCTGCACCCCATCTATTTACTCCAAAGTCACTCCCTCTCCAGACACTCCCCTTCCGCAGGTACTCTCCAGCTCCCTTCCTTGCCTCGCTTCTCTCAACTGGGTGTTCCCTCTGCCTAGTGACTGCCCTCCCCCTTTCCTCCAATATTGCTTTGTGTCCCTCTGAAATTGGAGTTTTGAGATGAGATTAGATTCCTTGCTTTGCCAATTTCCTTCTGGGTTCTTGTCTCACAAATTTGAAGAATAAAATTCATGGACAATAATGGAAGGGAAGAGTAAACGGTGTTGTGTTTATTTAAGTGAGAAGTGATATAACTCCTGCCATTTGGATGGGGCCAGATAGCAGGAAAAACCCATTTTGGTGTGCTAGCTTAGAGGCTTACATGGTTCTGGGTAGAGTATGGAGCAAAAGTCTATGTTAAACAGGCATTGAAAAAGTATTGGTTATGTCCTTTAGCCTGAGTTTCAATCTCCTGTAACTCCCATCTGGGTTCATCCCCTCATCCCATTTTCTGGCTTCTGGGACAAAGGAGCTGGATTGGGAGTGTTTCCACATGTGAGCCTCATGGTCTTTTACCTTTGAATAAACCTTGATGGTGCCATTAATATATCTAACAAGTAGCCTCCAGGTGTGATTTCTGCATTTGAACAAGACCTCAGTTGGGGCCCATCACTTCTAATTGCTGACCACTGACTATTCCTATTTATTCCCTCCTCTGAAGAAGTCACTCTTAAGTACTGTTACAGGAAAAATATGTGATGGGGCAATGACTGATGACAGCTTTGGATGCTTCAGGTTGAAAGGGGTATTGAAATGGGACAGCTGTCAGGCTTCTTCTACAGAGGTCTGTCTGAGGGCTTCCAGGAGTAGAAGGAGAATTTGGTTTTGGATTCCACACGGAAGACCATTTGGAGCTTGGGCATCTCACACATAAGGGCAGTTTAGAGGTCCATGGTAGTGGTTGGCAGATAACTAGAGAAAGGATTCATAGAGCATGTGTCATGTTAAGACAAAAAACAAGATAGCAGCTGGATGCTGTGGCACATGCCTGTAAACCTAGTGACTTAGGAGGCTGAGATAGGAGGATTTCGAGTTCAAAGTCAGCCTCAGCGAAAGTGAGGTGCTAAGCAACTCAGTGAGACCCTGTCTCTAAATAAAATATGAAAAAGGGCTGGGGATGTGGCTCAGTGGTCAAGTGCCCCTGGGTTCAGTCCCTGGTACCAAAAATAAGTAAATAAAAAAGGCATCAAAACATTATTTTCTGTAAAACAATTAGCACAAAAGTAATCAGTATTATTAACTAGGCCCTGAAAATTATTAAGATAATGACTTATTAAATCTTAGGATGTGTTCCAACATGCCACTAATTTGTGATTGGGGGCTTTTTGGGACTCTGGAAACATTAGCAAAGTTGTTAGAAATGTGTACATTTAGTTTGCATAATGTGTTATCCATCCTCAAGCTGTAGCTGATTTTTGTAAAACAGCTTTTTCATTAGTGTTACCTCTGTTTGATAGAGAGGTTGTCTTTAACTGTGTAACCTCCCAGTTTTATTTGCTTTTTGACAAATGTACATCAAGTTATACACCCACAAAATAAGTCTCTCCTTTTAAATGTCCATGTTATACTCTCCTGCCAGATATTTAAGACCAAGTTGATTAATATTGATCTTGTTCCTGACTACTGTTGAGAGTCAGCTGAGATTTGTCAGGATCACACTTGGGAATTTATGAGAAGCCTCCTGGCTTCTTTAGTTTTCCTCTAACAGTCGTGCCATTTACCAGGATGGGTTAGGGTCTTGCAGACCACATGTGGCTTCCTTTGGAAGCATAGGGACATATACCTTTCCAATGACCCTCCTCTTTGCAGAATGTACACTTGTTGGCTTCCTGTTCTCTAGGGTCCCTTTGATTCCCCTTATTGGGTGGTCATGGGACTCAGGGTTGCAAAGCTCTTAAAGAAGTCCCATTGTTTCTTGGTTTTGCTGACCAAAGAGGGTAAGGCCAAATTATTGTCTATTTTTTTTTTTTTGCCCTTTAACTTGCCTGACTTTGGTCTCCAGGTTTTGGTTTTAAACATCTAACAGTCAAGTTTCACCAGTCTTACAGTAGGAGTCCTGGGTTTCAACTTTAATGTTTACAATTTTACAGTTATCCTGGTTTAATTAGAGTTAGTATCTGTACTAGAAATTAGCATTATACTTTATCTGTCCTGTACGTGATGGTTTATTATCTTAATTCAGGTTGTTGCATTAGAAACAACAGGTAAGAGTTACAAAATTTTACAAGAAAAATACAAAAAGAAATGAAATTAACAAAAGAAACAGTGTTAGTGTTCATAAATAGACATATATGATGTATAAATGCATAACAGTTGTTTCTTCAACCAGTTGTGGAGCTATCATTTAGAATGTTTTAAAATAGGTACAAACCTTACAAGATTTTATTTCTCTAAGTAACAAAACGTAACAGACACAATAAATTAACTTAATAGATATGCATGTCAATGTTTTAAGAAACCCTATTGTGAAACCTAGAGAATTAAACTTTGTTCTATTATCAGTACATTAAAATTTGACTTTCAACTTGGTGTGGTGGGGCATGCTTGAGAGTTCAAAGCCATCCTCAGCAATGGTGAGGCTCTAAGCAACTCAGTGAGACCTTGTCTCTAAATAAAATACAAATAGGGCTGGGGATGTGGCTCAGTGATCAAGTGCCCCCGAGTTCAATCCTGAGTACCAAAAAAAAAAAAAAAAAAAAATGATCTCAGCTAAACCCTTAACTTTGTCATTTATAGTCAACACAAACTTTTTCAGATTCACCTTCTATAAGCCCTCTACAACTTAGACATTCTGCAATTTGTTTACCCTATAGGCTAAATAAAATATATTGCCATATTTATGAGTTTCTTATCTTTCTTAAATTTATATCCTGAAACAATCCTTATGAAATTTCTTAATTTAAATGAAATTAATTTTTTATAAGATGAAATACTTTATGCTTTGTACAGTACTTAAAACACTGCTGGAGCTTTTTATATTTTTTGTATATAGAATTATACCTGTTAGAATTTTAACTCATTTAATAGACACAAATATACTGTCTTATAGAATTGAGAAGCCAAAATATGTAAATTTATAGTCAGCAGTTGTTGTTTTAGTATTTTAACTTTGCAAATTAATCAGATGTCTTTTTAAAGTTTTTATTAGTTATTGATGGTCCTTTATTTATTTATTTATTTATATATGGTGCTGAGTATTAAACCCAGTGCCTCACACATGCTAGGCAAGCACTCTACCACTGAGCCACAACCCCAGCTCCTAATCAGTTGTCTTTTAACAAACATGCATGAACATTAATTCCATTTATGTTAAATCTAATTTATTTATTCTTTTTTTGGGGGGGGTTACTGGGGATTGAACTCAGGGGCACTCAATCACTGAGCCACATCCCCAGCCCTATTTTGTATATTTTATTTAGAGACTGAGTTGCTTAGTGCCTCACTTTTCCTGAGGCTGGCTTTGAACTCAGGATCCTCCTGAATCAGCCTCAGAGCTGTTGGTATTACAGGCATGTGCCATGGCGCCTGGCCTGATTTACCTAATCTTAACTGTTAGCTTTAAATTACCATGAAAACCAGGGTATCAGACAAATCTATTTAACACTTTGTCAGTAATTCTGGTCAAAGAAAAGTGCTTAAAAGCAGTGGACATTACACTATAAACAATTTATGGAAACTAATGCTTTGGTTTTTGGTCACCTGGAAAAACATGTAGGTTAGTAATTTAAAAAGCATATGGGGCTGTGGATGTAGCTCAGTTGGTAAAGTGCTTGCCTTGTATGCACAAGATCGTGGGTTCAATCCCCAGCACTAAAAAAAAAAAAAAGACATATTTACTCTTATCAATTTAAATTAACCCTTTTTGTTAAAGGTTTATCTATGTTTCTTGAATTGAAAAGTCATTTGGATCTGTTAATTAAACTTATGAGTACTCATTTTTCTATAAGCCAATCTTGATACCATGTACATGATATATGGACACAAGCACATATACAGACATTACGACACAACACACAGGTGTGCATACATACATAAAATAAATAGGAAACACAGATCTTATAGCTTTTTAGCACCTAATAGATCTCCCCAGGTAGGAGACAACAGTTATAGATGTTTACTATAGTCTATTAGGTTTAACATCACAGACTTTTACATTATGATTAAAATATAGGTCAGGACTATACATTTGGAAATGTTAGGTGTGGAGTCTGGAAGCTGTGGTGGACACTGAAATCAAAGGTTCAGGTGGCCACTTGTCCTTTGTGGGTATCAAATTTATTCCCATCAGCACCATTGTTTAATCCTCTCCTTAGGACTCTGTAAATGAGACTTTTCCAATGTATTTGAGATTAACACTTGAAAAATTGGCCTTTGACTAAAAGACAGCAGGGGAAAAAAAGTATGACAATATCTCTAATTAGAATAAAACAAGATTGATTGGAATAAATATATTAATTTAGGCACACAGTATCAAATGTGAACTCACCACAAAAACCATGAGGTAAGAAAAATAAGAAGTTCTAAAAGAAAAAAAAAGGTATAGCCATAATTACTCTAGTAAAGGAGCGTGAAGAATATCTATCAGACCAGAATGCACTTTTGGATCTAATTAGAGTTAGCCCAGGTATTGAAAGAATGTGGGATCCCATGAAATCCTCAGGAAAAGATTTTTATTTATTTATTTATTTTTGTGTGTGTAGTACCTGGAATTGAACTCAGGGGCACTTGGCCACTGAGCCCCATCCCAGCTCTATTTTGTATTTTATTTAGAGCCAGGGTCTTACTGAGTTGCTTAGGGCCTCACTTTTGCTGAGGCTACCTTTGAACTTGAGATCCTCCTGCCTCAGCCTCCTGAGCCTCTGGGATTACAGGCGTGCGCCACCACACCCAGCAGGAAAAGATTATTTAAGAAGAAAATTTGTACATATGGGATTTTCCCCATTTTCTTTCCCTGTGCCAATCCCACAGATTGGAAAAAATCCCATGATAATTAGGGTGGCTCCCGATATTTCTGGGCTTGTCCTTTCAATTTCCTGGAGGTGGGTCCCTGCTGCATATTGTTTCCAAAGTAGAATGTAAGCCTCTTAAGTGTCAACACAAAACCTGGGACCTGGAACAGCTGGCCTTTTAAGCTGTCTTTCCCCTTTGTTTCTTCCCTTTTGTAACTTGGAGAGTAGAATTCCAGAGTACGAAAAAGTGCCTCAGGTTTGGATTTAAAAGTGACACTTTTTCTTTGGTCTTAAACTGGTTTGGGCAATTGCACATGCAAGTCTAGCTGTAAGATAGAGTTATAGTTTATATTTCCCTTAAGAGCTGTCTCTCCCTGTCCTCCAAGTAGTATTTGGGCCAGGCTGAGTACAGAAAATATTTTCCCCTGGGGTTTAAGGGTCAAAGGAATTTAGTGTATGAGTGCTTGTGCCAGATGGAGTGTTATCCATCCAGATGAAAAGGGGGAAGAAAGCATCCGTTGCCATCCCTCCACTGAACCAGATCAAGGTGTCCCTTGATCTGTGGACCTCAAAGCTGTTGGCAAGAACCCCTTGAGGCCTGATTAGGACTTTTGAGTTGGCTGTATTAGTTGCCCTTTTCCTACACATCTCCAAAATCCCTCACTCATTTTCTTTTATCTTCCATCATCTTCAAAACCTTAGTGACCACATATTGAGGCCTTATTAGGATTTGGGCAGGTTGGATTTAGTCACTTATTACCAACACATGACCCCAAATCCCATTGTGTTTTTTCCCTCTTAAAAGGAGAAACCTACCCCTATGTACGGAAGCACTGTTGACAAGGTTGAGCATCACAGAGGAGACAGGCCAATAGCTTTCTAAACTGTTGTACTAAGAGACAGACATGCCCCTGAGGGCCATGTGCCTTAGACAAGATTTTTAAAACATTTAATTTTTTTTGAAAAGTTTTGTAGTTGTAGATGGGCAGCATTCCTTTATTTTATTTGTTTCTTTTTATGTGATGGTAAGGATCTAACCCAGTGCCTCACACATGCTAGGTAAGTGCTCTGCCACTGAGCTATAGTTCCAGCCCACCTTGGACAAGTTTTAAAGTCTTTCCTGATGTTTGTATTTGCTATTGTATTTATAATTAGGGTCACAAAATTTCTGTCCTAGTTGTTGTAAAAAGGAATCTAATTTTTACAGCCAGAGATGATGTCCTCACTGTAATAGACCTAAGATTTGAGACTCTTAACCTAATAGATGGGGGGAAAGGGACAAAAATGTCTTAGAGCACTTAAAAATGATGAGAGCCATGTTTTTTTTTTCCCTAGAAAAACTGGCAGGGTTAGAAATGTAGGGACCCACTATTCTTATTCTTCCTAAGAGAATAAGATCATTTTCCCCTATAATATGATTAAGTATAACTGGCAAAATCCAGGATCAGTGGGACAGCTTCTGAGATTGAGCTTCCTTTTCCTGGGCCAGGTTATTGCAAGGCAGATAGAGTAAGACAAAAGGGCAACTCACTTGGGCACTGGTAGACTGACAGGCAGGGCTCTCTCTCTGTCCATGATCACACTGAGGAGTTACCTCAGCCCTAAATCCAAGGAGCTATCTGAGTGAGGCCTTCCCTTTACCATCAGGTGAGAGGCCATGAATGGAGATTAAAGTGGAGATGGAGGTTCCATGTGTGATCAGTTGGCTTTTGGCTATCTTTGGAGATCCTGTATTCACACCTGGGAGTAACCCCAGCCAGAGACCTAGGGTGCTTCTAAGAGACCTTAGTTTCTTGATCAAATGGATTGCCATGAAAGGAGATTAAATCAAGATCAGACCAATATTCTCCCCACCAAAAGCAGAGAGGGATGAACAAGTCTCAGTCCAGCAAAGCTTTTCCCCTGTGTTGAGTCTGGCAGCTGTGCTATCTGCTTTAAATTGGTTAACAGGATCCTGGTCATTTTGATAGACAGAATGTACAAAATGGAGTACAGGGCTTCTGAAATAAAAGCAAAGTGATAGAGCATTAGTACATTTCATTCACTCTTCTGAAGATCCCCATATGGGCCCCCAAGATGAGACTGGAGTTTTGAGATGAGACTAGATTCTCTGCTTTGCCAATTTCTGTCTGGGTTCTTGTCTCACAGATTTGAATAATAAAATCCACAGACAAAAATGGAAGGCATGAATAAAAACGGTATAGGGTTTATTTAAGTGAGAAGAGAGATAACTCCCACCATATGTTTAGGGCCAGATAGCAGAAAAACCCATTTTGGTTGTTAGCTTTAGGGCTTATATGGTTCTGAGTAGAGCATGGAGCAAAACCTATGTTAAACAGGTATTGAAAAAGAACTGGCTGTGTCCCTTAGCCTGAGTTTTACCCTTTCCTGTAACTTCCACCACCTCCTATTTTCTTGCTTCTGGGACAAAGGAGCTGGCCTGGGGGTGTTGCCATAGGTAAGCTTCATGGTCCTTTACATTTGAAATAGGCCTTGATGGTGCCATGCCATTAATATTTCTACTGGGTAGCCTCCTGATGTGGTTTCTGTATTTTTTTTTAAATGTGGGATTGAACCCAGGGGCACTCAACAACTGAGATACATCCCCAGTCCTTTTTTATTTATTTTTTTAAAATTTGAGACAGGGGTCTTGCTAAGTTGCTTAGGGCCTTGATTAGTTGCTGAGGTTGGCTTAGAACTTGCTATCCTCCTGACTCAAGTCTCCAGAGTCCCTGAAATTACAAGTATGTGCCACTGTGCCTGGCTGGTTTCAGCATTTGAACAAGAACTCATTTGGGGCTGATCACTTCAGATTGCTGACCATTGACTATTCTTATTCACCTCCTCCAGTGCTCCTCAGTTCCAGATGATTCCATCCCCAGATACTACCTTTGCCAGCTCTGTTCCTCCAGTTTATCCTAGTTTTCCTCTTCCCAGCTTTTTCCCCTTTCAGCCTCCTCACTCTTCCCATATCCCTCCCTGGGCTTCCTTTCCCAGTTACCCTAACCCTAAGCCAATCTTTCTAGCCTCAGCAGTAGTCTCCTTACCTCATCCCTCTCCACATATGTGCCTGGACTTTGTCCCTTGCCTGCAGTTCGAGGGGAAGACATCATTTGGAATGTCAGTGTTCAACCTCAGCAATGCCATCATGGGCAGCGGCATCCTGGGGCTGGCTTATGCCATGGCACACACAGGAATTATCTTCTTTCTGTAAGTCCCCAGTGGCTTGGGGGACCAGGGGTGTGGTGGGCAAGTGGGAGGCTTGGTGCCAAATCTGAACTGCTCCTTCTGCCACAGGGTCCTGTTGCTGTGCATCGCATTTCTGTCTTCATATTCCATCCACCTCCTGCTGACCTGTGCCAGTGTTGTAGGTGAGATGCAGAGACTGGGTCCCCTTTCCTTTGGATCCTAGACTCTAGACACCCTTACAGAGCTCAACCCAGGCCTTGGAACCCAGATCCACACTCAATTCCTTGAACTTACAACCCCGACATCAACCCGAACCTTATACTCTGGACATACCAACCCTAATCCCAGATCCTAGGCCCAACATGCAACCCTGAGTGAGACTCCACAGTCAAGTCTGGCCCTCAATTTTATCTGGGCTCGCAGATCTCCAACTCCAAATTCCCAGCTCGTACCTTTCAGTCTGGCCATCAGACCCTCTCCAAACCCCAGACTGCTATATTTTACCTCTAACCCCATCCTTTAGTCCATATCCCCTCTTACCCTGAAGCTACTTCATAGCCTGAAGAGCTCCAGCCATGGTTCCCCAGCTCACACTGCCTCAGATCCCAGGCTTCTCTCTCACCATGGTCTCACCTTCACTTCAAGGTACCAAATCTGACTTAACAATCAAGTTCAAGCCTATCTGCTTAACCCTCACTTCCAAATTTCTTTCTTTTTTTTTTTTGAGAGAGAATTTTTTAATATTTATTTTTCAGTTTTCGTTGGACACAACATCTTTATTTTATTTTTTATGTGGTGCTGAGGATCGAACCCAGTGCGGTGCACATGCCAGGCGAGCGTGCTACCGCTTGAACCACATCCCCAGCCCTCTCTTCCAAATTTCATCAGTTAGTGGCAAATCCCCCAAACCCCAGCTTCTAGACCCTCTGGACCCTCCCGCTACTCACCCCTGGATAAGCCTCCTGAATTCACAACTAATTCCTTCTTTCCTGCCCTCCTAGGCATCTGAGCCTATGAGCAATTGGGACAGAGGGCTTTTGGGCCCTCCGGGAAGGTAGTGGTGGCTGCTGTCATCTGTCTGCACAATGTTGGGGGTGAGGATTCTAGGAGTTGGGGCTCAGCTGGAGGGAAGAGGATGGGGTGATGTGGGCTTCCAGGGGCTGGGATGGGGAAGATGGGGTAGGAGGATGAGGATAACCTTCCATTTATACTTTACCCCACCTGCACCAGCCATGTCCAGTTACCTGTTCATCATCAAATCCGAACTCCCCCTGGTTATCCGCACCTTCTTGAACGAGGATCTTTATGGGTGAGTGAACAGTGCCCTCTGACTTGATGGGTAAGTGAACAGGCCCTAAACTCTGCCTGTTTGGTCTAACTGACTCTGTGTGTCCACCTGATTCTTGGGTGTTCTCTCCTGAGACTGTTGGGGAGTCCAGTTGAGTCACTCTGTGAATTGTAACAACAGTATTTGTGACTATTGTTGACTTCAGGAATCCTCAAGACCTTGGACTGATTTTGTGACTGTGATTCTGACTGGCAGTTGATCTGGACATCCAGAATATGCTGATACTGACCATGTGTGTGACTATATCTAGCAGATGTGGACTCTGGGGGTTGGGTTCAATGACTGTTGTATTTGCTGACTCTCTCTGGCTAGGGGTGTGATAGATTACAGCTGTGAACTGTGATTCCAACCATAATTATATGACACTTGGCTACTCTGAATTTTCCTGTCCAGCGGATTCTGTGAATTTGATTCTGGGTCCATTACCTGCTAGATTCTATCTAGCTCTAAACATATGATCACTTACTCCAATGATGTATGTGTGAATGTGTGCATGAGCATGCCTATGTCATATACTATGGTACCAACTGTGTTGGTAACTTGCTCTGTATGTTCAATCAACTCCATCTGTCTCTGATTTGGTGATGATTGTTCTGGAAAATTCTCTCTGGTTGTGTATGTGTGATCCTCAATTATGACTTTGTATGTCCTCTGTATTGTGGTCATAGCTATGCATGATTGGCTGTTGTTCTGACTGCATGTTTGATTCTCTGTCCTGATTGTGTAATGTCTGGTTGTGTACAATGGATTCCAGGCATATGTGTGTGTGTGTGTGCAGTATACTGTGGTGCTTTTGCTTCAGCTGCATATATGCACATATCACTGCCTTAGGTGTTTTTTTTTTTTTTGTGATACTGGGGCTAGAATCCAGGGCCTTGCACATGCCAGAGAAACACTCTATCACTGAGCTACATCCTAGAGCTTGCTTTTTATTATCTATGTATGTCCTATTAGATTGTTGGTTTGATTCTGAGAACATCCAAGTATTACTAGATATGTTTAATATTTTTTTGCAGTGCTAAGTTCAAACTCAGGTTTGTACTTTAGCATGTACTCAGGCATGCACTTTGCCACTGAGTTATATGCTGTATACAGTTATTATAATTACCTCTCACTATATGTATGTGTGTGTGTGTATATATATATATATATATATATATATACACACACACACACACACACACACACACACACTAGGATGGTTTATTTCTGTGTAACTGTGTTTATGATATAGGGAACATGTGAAGCTAGGCAAGGTTGCACATACCTGTAATCCCAGTGGCTCAGGAGGCTGAGGCAGGATTGTGAATTCAAAGCCAGCCTCAGCAACTTAGCGAGGCCCTAAGCAACTTTCAAGACCCTGTCTCAAAATAAAAAATAAAAAGGCCTGGGGATGTGCTTCAGTGGTTAAGCACTCCTGGGTTCAATCTTTGGTAATAATAATAATAAAAAAAAAACAAGGAAGAGAGCATGCAAGTGCCTGGAACTTAGTAAGCACTCAACATAAATTCCATTAGCCGAGTGGGGTGGCACACTCGTAATCCCAACTACTTAGGAAACTAAGGCAGGAGGATTCCAAATTCGAGGCCAGCCTGGGCAATTTAGCAAGACTCTATCTTTAAAAAAAAAAATGGTTCAGTGGTAGAATGCTTGCCTAGCCTGTGCCAAGTCCTTGGATTCAATCCCTGATACTGCAAAAAAGAAAAAAAAAAGGTTGTTTTGAATGAATACACATTTGTATTAACTGGCTGTCTCGTCTGGACACCTTCCTGTAACACATACAGAGATCCCCATTTTGCTTTGAGCTTGGTCCCAACAGCATGGTCAATTGGCCCGATTCTGTTTCTATTTCAGTCTTTCTTTCTTTTCAACTCTTTTTTATACATTTTTTTCTTAAGGTGTTGAGGATCGAACCCAATGCCTCCCACATGCTAGGCAAGTGCTCCATCACTGAGCTAAAACCCCAGCCCCTATTTCATTCTTTCTTTGGCTCTGTGGCCAAATCAGGCATCCAACCTTAAGCTTTTAAATATATATATATATATATATATATATATATATTTTTTTTTTTTTTTCTGACATTTCCACCTAATCTGCTTCATTACCTGTCTAACCATCAGACTGTTGTTCCACCTGCCAGACATACCAGGGTCATAACACACTCTGTCTTTGTGTCTGACAGATTGTGTTGTACTGATTTTCATGTCAAGTCCAACTGATTGGGGTACTTGACCATCTGATTTTATTTCCAGTTGGGACTCTGATGGTGAGTTTGTCTAGCTGTGCTCGTGCTTTTAACTGTATCCTCCCAATGGTGTTCAACTGACAATCTTATAATCAGTCTACTTCTGTCAATCTTGTTGTGCAATTTGCCACTGGAATCACTTGAATGACTTCACACAGCTGAGATGTCTACTCATTTTTCCTGACTGGGGGGCAGAAATCTGTCCATTTGACTGTCTTCCATGAGTGTTAGCCTGACAGTTTTCTTTGGCTGGCAACCAATCATTATGTCTTCTTATTTCCCTAGGAGCTGGTTCTTGGATGGAAATCTCCTTATCATCATTGTCAGTGTGTTAATTATCCTGCCCCTGGCCCTCATGAAACATTTGGGTAAGAAGCTTCCTGGTTTGTTCATTGGGTAGCAGGGTTAGAGAGTGGGAACTAGACTAGAAAAATCCCCATCTTCAAAGGCTGTGGAACACTAACACATTTGTGCATGTAGCAGATTAATAGGAATTTGCTGTGCAGGGGAGATCAGTCCAGGTGGAAGTGAAAACTTAGACAAAGGATCTGGGCACAGTGGCATATGCCTGTAATCCCAGTTATTTGAGACGCTGAAGCAGGAGGATCTCAAGTTCAAAGCCAGCCTGGGCAATTTAGCAAGAACTTGTTTCAAAGTAAAAAATAAATAATAAATAAAAGGGCCGGGGATGTAGCTTATTGGTGAAGCATTCTTGGGTTCAATACCAGTAATACAAAAGAAAAATTTTATACAAAGTATTGAGGTAAGGGAGCCTTAAAGGCCAGAGTAGGGGTTTCGGTTTTGCTATAAGGGGGTCCTTGATTTTTGAGGCTCTGTATATTGCCCCATGTAAGTTATCTGGGATATACCAGTGGTCTTTCTCTGACCTGCATGCTGATTTTCCTCATTTCGGTGAGTCTGAGAGGAGAACATGAAAAGGTGGGGAAAGGGTTTGGCACATTGGGACATAGCCTTCTCCATGACCTCACTTCCCTACTTCCCACCCTTAGGTCATTTATGAGAAGTTCCAGATTGACTGTCCTATAAGTCACAATGAGACAGCAATAGAGAATAAAGACCCCCCAGGCCTCCCTGCTCAGGGATTCAACAGCAGCTGTGAAGCCCAGATGTTCACAGTTGACTCTCAGATGAGTGTGTAGACATGTGGGAGCTCACACCACATGAAGACTGTGGTTCTGTCCCACACTGCATCTTACTCAGGATGGGTTAGGTATTGGGTTTCAGGATCTGCTTTGTGTCCAATATGGAGGACAATGGTGGGGCCAGGAGTACAGAGAGAGGGAAATCCTCTAATTCCTTGTGGGCTCTAATCCTGTGTACTTGAACCATACCCCCAGATGTCCTACACAGTGCCCATTATGGCTTTTGCCTTCGTCTGCCACCCTGAGGTGTTGCCAATCTACACGGAGCTCTCTCGGTGAGTGGGCATATGTGATGGGCCAGCTGGAACAGGGCCCGTTGTCATAATGTCTGACATAGCAGCCGTAACCTAAGACTACAGCTTGATGGTAGCTGGGTTGTGCCAAGGGAAGGTTTTAGGGTGGCTACAAGGCCCCAGAGAACTCAGGGTGGTGACTTTAGTAATTAGATGTTAATTAGTGCACTATTTTAACATCTGTTATGAGTGTGAATGGACAGAGTTGGAAGCAGAGATCAGATGATCAGATTCGGAGGGATGGTTGTCTGCATGGATAGGGTTGGGGTGCTGGGGTGTTCAGATGGACAGGGAGGCATGGGTAGACAGGGAGAGGCATGGATGGTGTAGTGGAAGGATGCATGGGTGATCACAGAGGGATTGCATGGGTGCTCAGATGGAAGGAGGAGGCAGAGATGGTTATGTGAGGTGAGGTATAGATGAACAGAGAGGGGAAAGCTTGGCTAGTTGCACAGGTGAAGCAGAGTTGGCATCCCAGTACCAGCTGTACATCGATCTGGAAGGAGGAGGCTTGAAGATGGTGGCTTGGCCCTGTCTAGGTGTGGGCATGACATTTCCATGACCTGTATATCTTAGGCCTTCCCAGCACAGGATGCAGGCTGTGGCCAATGTGTCCATTGGGGCCATGTTCTGCATGTATAGCCTCACAGCAACGTTTGGATACCTCACCTTCTACAGTGAGTGTGACTGGGCCCAGGGCTGGAGGGATCTGCCAATGGGCCAGGGCCAAAGCTGGGGCAGAAACCTCTGAGATCTCTCCCTCTTGAGAACTTGGACCCATCCCTTTCTAAAGGCACATGTGCATCACATGTTTAGATTTTGTCACCACAGATGTGGTGGGTTTCTGGGGTTCTGGTTCTGGTCCTCCTATCACATTCATTTTTCCCTGTCTCCTGTCCCAGGCAGTGTGAAAGCAGAAATGTTGCACATATACAACCAGAAGGACCAACTCATCCTATGTGTGCGCCTGGCTGTGTTGCTTGCAGTGACCCTCACTGTACCAGTTGTGCTCTTCCCTGTGCGTGGAGGGTAGTGTGTGGGGGAAGGGAGGGAGTAGAGGGACATGGGTGGATGGCTAAAGGGCATAGGTATTGATGTTTGGATGGAGGATGGAGATAGGAGCAAATGGACAGATGGAGGAGGCAGAGATGGTCAGACAGGGAAGAGAGTTGTCAGACAGAAAAGGCAAAAACATGGTCAGACAGAAGGGGACATGAATGGCAGGACAGAGAGGGTCACAGGGATGGGTAATCAGTTGGAGGAAAGAGGCACAAATGGATGGCTTGGCAAAAGAAGGAGGTAGGAATGGTCAGTCAGAATGAAGAAATGGAATGGCCTGGAAAATAATGGAGGCTGAAGTGGTGAGATGTAGGAAGGATGAAGCTCTCAGATGGGAAGGTGAGAATGATTCAACAGAGGAGGGTGGTAGAGGTAGTCAGATGAAGAGAGGTAGGGATTTCAGACAGGGTGGAAGGACAGGTGATAGATGAGGTGGCAGAGATGGACAGAGAGAGGAGGCAAGGATTTGAGACAGTGGTAGAAACACAGATGGATGATCAGGCAGAAGGAAGAGAGACATGGGTTTTCACAGGGAAGAGGCAGGAATTTCATTCAGAAGGTGGAGACAGATGGGTGGTCAGACAAGGTGGAGCCATAGATAATCATAGGGGAAATCTGGGATCTTGAAGTTAAAGAGGAGGAGCAGCACTTGAGGCCTTAACCCGGTTTTGTCTTTCCTTGGCTACAGATCCGTCGGGCCCTGCAGCAGCTACTCTTCCCAAGCAAGGCCTTCAGCTGGCCACGACATGTGGCTATAGCCCTGATCCTGCTGGTGTTGGTCAATGTCCTTGTCATTTGTGTGTTCACCATCCGGGATATCTTTGGGGTTATCGGTTAGTATCTCCAACTTTAATCCCCTGCCCCACCTTATATGGGCCTTGCACCCAAAATTGGGTTGACTCTGTCTCTCCTTGTGTCCTATAGGGTCCACCTCAGCCCCTAGCCTCATCTTCATCCTTCCCAGCATCTTCTACCTCCGTATTGTACCCTCTGAGGTGGAGCCCCTCTTTTCCTGGCGGAAGATCCAGGTGAGCATCCAGGAGAGCACTGGAAGAGGAGGCATTCTGAGGAGGGAGTGCTCACTCCAAGCTGACTAGGGATTGAAGGAACTTTCTCAGGAAGGGGGTGGGGGAAGAGGAATCTCTAGAAGAGGGGTAGATGATATAGAAGAATGAAGAAGAGATTGTTGTTGGAAGTGGCAGAGCAGACATAACCAGCGGAATGGTCTGGGAAGACAGAGGGAGTGGACTGGCAGGCTCAGGTTAGTTCAGTGTTGGAGCACTTACCTAGCATGTGTGCAAGGCTCTGGGTCCCGGGTTCTATTACTGGTACTTAAAACAAAGGAAAGGCTGTCATAGAGGGAGTATTCTCCAGATAGATGGAAGGAGCCCTATTGGGAAGAGAGGTGGGAGCAGTTTGAAGAAGAAGGATGGAGGAAGAGTACTCATATAAGGGTTCTGGGAAGGTTGAAGGGGGATTCACAGGAAGGGGCTGAATTTAAGGAAGGAGAGGGAACATAGAGGAGGGCAAGGAAAGGAGTGGACATTCTGGAAGGTGGTGGGCTTGAGGAACAGTCTCAGAGGGAGTTTGGGTGGGGAGTACCAGCCAGCTCCATTTTCTTCCCTCTCAACCTATAGGCCCTGTGTTTTGGCATCCTGGGAGTCCTCTTCATGTTCCTCAGCTTGGGTTTTATGTTTGCCAACTGGGCCACAGGCCAGAGCCATGTGTCTAGACACTGACCTCCCCTGTCCTGCCCTGCTTGGTCCCTGTGTATGTCTGTGTGTGTGGAGGGATTTGGGGCCACAGTCTTGCGACCTTCCTTCCTGAGATGTGGAGGTGACTGGTTCCCATTAATATGACAACCCAAGGTAGGGGACAGCAGAGGCTGAGGAATGTTCCATTTCCCTCTTTCTTAGGCATGCAGAGCTTGGATCATGGCCCTCCATGGGAGGAGGAAGGAGAAATTAGGTCCTTGGGGAGTCCTTGCCTAGCTCAGTTCTTTCTGCCTCCCCTTGGTTGAAATTGTTTGTGAGGATTACCCTCTGGCTAAAATGGAAAGAATAAAGATATTGAATCATGATTCTTGCCTTAGCTTTTTGATATTTTTCTAAAACTTCTTGGGGGACCCTGCCTATGTACAGATGGGTAAGCTGAGGCTCTGAATAGCATTGTGCCCATTCTGAAGTATTCACCCCTCTACTGCAACAATGACTTGATACTCAATTTAATCATTTCATTCACTCATTCACTCACCATCTATGGAGAGCTTATTGCATTCCAGGTTGGGCTATAGCATTGAGTCAAGCAGACTGGTGTTTAGGAAGGTGTTGGTGTTCCAGCACAAGAGGGGATTGAACTCAATTATTATACCCCTAGCCTTTTTATTTTATGTTTTGAGACAGGGTCTCTCTAAGTTGTTGAGGCTGACCTTGGAACTTATGATCCTCCTGCTTCAGTTTCCCAAGTCACTGGAATTACAGATGTGTGCCACTGGGCCTGGCCTTGCAGCCTATTTTTATATAGCCTTATAGCTAAGAACATTTTTCATATTTCTAAATGATAGAAAAAAAATAAAACATAGAATAATATTTTATGACACATGGAAATTATATAAAACTCAAATTTCAGTGTCAGTGAAGTTATATTGGAATGGTTAGGCTTGATCATTTACATATTGTTATTGGCTTTGCATGGAGTTGAGATTCTCGATGGAGACCATATGGCCTGCAAAGCCTAAGCTATTTACTTTTCAGCTCTTTTCAGAGAAAAGTTATCTGATCCCTGACCTGGCAGAAAAGAGGAAAAAGGTTATTTCTGATAAAGCAGAGCACTGTGAAACCAATGAGTGATGTGGAGAAGTGATGACTCAGGAACTAGTCAGGGAAACCTCACTGGGGTGAGGGTGGAAAAAGAGCAGGGTGTTAAGCTGGCTAGAAAGAGCAAGCTCGATGGTTATCCTGACAGGGTATTCCAAGTAGAGGGAGCAGAAAGTACAGTGGCAGTAAAGTAGGGATGAAAATGACAAATCCAAGCAAAAAATGAGGAGTTGTGAGTTTTGAGTTCTAATTTCACCAGAGCCTTATCAACAAGCCTTACCAAATGGATTTTTGCCAACCTGACAAGTGAAAATGGTATTTCTGTGAATGTTCATTTGTTTTTGAAAGAAGTTTTCAAATGTTGAGTGACATACATTTGTTTCTTTCCAGATAACTTTATTTTTAAAAAAATATTTATTTTTTAGTTTTTAGGTGGACATAATATCTTTAGTTTTATGTGGTGCTGAGGATTGAACCCAGTGCTTCATTCATGCTAGGCAAGCGCTCAACCACTGAGCCACACTCCAACCCCAGATAACTTTAATTTTTAATTTTTTTTGTGGTGCTAGGGATGGAACCCAGGGCCTGTCACATATCAGATAAGCATTCTACCACTGAACTACATCCTCGGACTCCCAGATAATTTCTATGCATATACAAACCACTCTAGATATAATCTTTCTCCCCTTCTTCCTATTTTCTTTTTCTTTTTTCTTTTTTTTTTTTTTTAGGGGATTACTGGGGATTGAACTCAGGGGCACTCAACCACTGAGCCACAACTCCAGCACTCCTCTTCTTATTTTTAAATAAGCAGTTGACTAATCAATTAAAACCATATACTCCTAATTTCACTGTTTTTCATTTTTTTAGAGGGGATAGAACCAGGGATTAAACTCAGGGGCCCTTTTATTTTTTATTTTGAGACAGGGTCTCACTAAGTTGCTTAGGGCCTTGCTTAGTTGCTGAGGCTGGCTTTAAACTTATGGTACTTCTGCCTCAGCCTCAGCCTCCAGAGCCACTGGGCATACAAGCATTTGACACCATGTCCAGCAAGTTTTTCATTCTTTACTGCCACTAAATATAAGCTCAGCAAACCTACTTTAATTTTTTTTGTAGTTATAGATGGATGGAATGCTTTTATTTTGTTTGTTTATTTTTATGTGGTGCTGAGGATTGAACATAGTGCCTCATTCATGCTAGGCAATTGTTATGCTGCTGAGCTACAGCCCCAACCCATCAAACCTACTATTTTGAGTGTACGGTGCTGCGGAATGATCTCAAGGCCCTGTGCATGCTAGGTACCTGCTCTACCACTGAGGAACAGCCCTAGCTCCTCTAATAACTATTTTATGCAATTTCCATTTTATGCAATTGTCTGTTTAATTCAATTTGTGAACAAAATCCTTGTGGATTTTCTTTAGATTATGTCATATTGATTCTAAAATTTGCCAATGGAAATCTAGGTGACAGTAGAATAAATATGTAAGAATAGCCAAGAATTTTTCTAAAGTTTTTTTTATTGCTGTAGAGGACACCTACCTTGATTTTTTAAAAATTTTATGTGGTCCTGAGGATTGAACCCAATGCCTCACACATGCGAGGCAAGTGCTCTGCCACTGAGCTACAACCCCAGCCCATCGTGAATTTTTTTTTTAATTAAAGAATAATAAGATGTATTTGCCCTAATGAGTATTGTAATATGCTGGGTGTGTCAATAATATCAGCTACTTGGGAGGTTGAAACAAGAGGATTGCAAATTTAAGGCCATCTTGGGCAATTTATTGAGATACCGTCTCAAAATAAAAAAAGTAAAAAGAGCTGGGGATGTAACTCAATGGTAGAATACTCCAGGTTCAATCCCCAGTACCAAAACAAAAACAACCTCAAGCTGAAATATTATTTTAAAGTCATTAATGGGGCTACAGTAGTGAGGTAGGCAGAATAAACCTCACTGCCAAAGATTTTCACATCCTGATCACAGAACCTCTCAGTGTGTTAAATTACATGTAAGAGGAATTAAAGTTGCTGATGGAATTAAGGTGGCTAAACCTTAATATAGGAAGATCATCTTTTAAAAAATAATTTATTTTTTAGTTGTTGTTGGACACAATACCTTTATTTTATTTATTTATTTTTATGTGGCTCTGAGGATCGAACCCAGGGTCGAGCACTTTGCCACTGAGCCACAACCCCAGCCCAGGAAGATCATCTTTGATTGTGTCTTGGTGGGTCCAGTGTTATCTCAAGGGTATTTATAAGAGGCAGGGAGATGAGAGAGTCAGAGAAAGAGTGGATGACAGAAGCAAGGCCAGAGGGATGTTGTATTATTGTGTTTGAAGATGGAGGAGGAAAGCCATGAATCAAGGAATGTGGTCAGGGAAAAGCAAGGAAATGGTTTCTCTAGAAATGCAGCCCTGCAAACACCTTGCTTTTAGCCTAATGAAGTTCATGTTGGGAATCTCTCTCTCTCTCTTTTTTTTTTTTTTTTTTTGGCAGTGCTTGGGGTAGAAACTAGGGCCTCACACATGCTAGGCAAATGCTCTAACACTGAGCTATATCCACAGCCAAGTGTTGGATATCTGACCAACAGAACTGTAAGATGATATATTTGTGTAATTTTAAGTCATTTTGTATAGCAGCAGTAAAATACAAAGACATATAGAAACATATCTGTTCATGAAATAGAATAGAAAGTCTAGAAACAGTCTAATTTACATACAAAACTTCAACTTACATTTCCAAACAGTGGAAATAAGATGGATTGTATGACAAATGATTGTATGACAAAGTACCTATCCATCTGTAACAAAAGATTAAAGCCTTACTTCTCACCACATAAAATAATAAAGAAAAATTAGAGGTTTAAATGCAAAAAATGAAAAGATATAAGAAACTACATGGAAGTTTAGGAAAATATTATAAATTTTATGTTGGTGTAGGCACTTCTTGGCATTACACAAAGCCTACCAGCAATAAATTGGATATATTTAAAGATGCAAAGATTGAAGCATCATCTGAGTCCATCTCCAACCTTTGCTGTCAGGGATCTGAGTTCAGGTCATGCCTGATATTTTCCCTATTGCAACCCCGTTACTGAATAAAATGTGTCTGATTGCTTTGAAAAAAAGTATCATTTGAGTCAAAAGACATCATAAACAACCATTTTAGAAGGCAAATTTGGGGGAAAGTGGTAAAACATGCATCAAGTGGAAAGAAACTGTCCCTAATATATAACAAACCTTTTTTTCATTCCAATAAAAGAAACTCATGCAACCCAATGTGTTCAGGGGAAAATGTGTTCAGATGCCATTAGTTCACAGTATGGAAGAAAAGGACTAAGAAATAGAAAATATGAAAGGAAAAAAAATGTAAAATGCAAAATAGATTCCAGAAGTTTCATCTTGCATCTAATAGGAATTCCAGACAGAATAGAAAGAGTGTAAAGAAGACTACTTCTCAGGCACCGTGGTGCACACCTATAATCCCAGTGGCTCTGGAGCTGAGGCAGGAGGATCACAAATTCAAAGTCGGCCTCAGCAATGGTAGGGTCCTAAGCAACTCAGTGAGACTCTGTCTCTAAATAAAATACAAAATAGGGCTGGGGATGTGGCTCAGTGGTTGAGTGCCCCTGAGTTCAATCCCGGGTACACCCCTCCCCCCAAAAAAAAAGACTACTTGAAGAAATATTTTTCTAGAATTTTCTGAACTGAAGAAAGGCATGAATCTTCAACTTGAACAAAGCCACCAAGTGCTAAGCATCTCTCTCTCTCTCTCTCTCTCTCTCTCTCACACACACACACACACACACACATACACAGAGAGAGAGAGAGAGAGAATAAAATCTTCAGCATAAAGATAAAATCCTAAGGGATTAAGATAAAATCCTGAAAAGTGCTACTCAGGAGGCTGAAGCAGTAGAATTGCTTAAATCCAGGAGTTCAAGGTCAACTCAGGCAACAGAGTGACACTGATCTCAAAAGAGGTGGGAAACGAAGTTCATGGCAGAATAGGTAAAAGCACTGGTATTTTATAGCTTAATTTTGGGAGCCAGAATGCATGGTGTCAAATTCTTTTTTTTGGAGGTAAGGGTACCAAGGATTGAACTCAGGGGCACTCAACCACTGAGCCACATCCGTAGCCCTACTTTGTATTTTATTTAAAGTCAGGGTCTCACTGA